GCTGGGTGTTCTCGCTTTCCCCCTGCTCTTCGTGTCTCAGCGTGCCGGCTTCCACCACTGACTGCGACCTGAAAGCAAGAAAACACACACGCTAACAAACACTGCTGCAGAAGCACTCACCTTCCTGGAGCCCCTTTGCTTCTCTCATTATTTGTTCTTTTGTCTGTGTTCACCTGTATGACTTCTCATTTCTTTCCTGCGGCATGTGTAAGGGAGTTGAGAAGCATTCCCTTGAATGTGGACAGGGACATGACCCATTGCAGGTCCCAAATGCTTTCCAGCTATTTGGTGCTCAGCTGCTCTCCCTCATGCTGAATGCACCCAGCAGCTCGACAGCCTGAGCTGAGCTGCCGTGGGATCTGTCGGGGCCGCGTGTCTTCCCAGGCAAAGCTGCTCGGGCAGCTGCTTCCGGAGAGGCAGAGTCGTTTGTGCAAGGGCTTACAGGAGGGAGTCAGCTCCTGGTAGGTTCATAACATTTTACTGCTGTAGGAGTTCCGTGAGCTACCCAAGACCCACAAGGAAGCCAGAATTAACGTGACCAGCCCGTTTCTGGTGTGCCCGCTCCTGCAATCTGTCTCCTTGCCTACACCCTTGGAGGAGAACCTTATTCAGGGCCAGTCCGTTTTACAGTCATTTCTGTCTTCAAGGTGGGAAGCATAGTTTATCATTCATGACTAATGCACAAAATACCCAGGACACGTAAAAAATGAGTGAACACTAGAGAAAGTGGCCCATCAGGATGTCTTGAGGTTAAAGCTCAATGGGCTTGCGCTAGTGGGAAAGTTCAAGACGATTGCATTTGCTGAGGTCTGTGTGCTCCCACGTTTGCTCACAGAGCTGTGGAAGGAGCAACTGAGGAGTCTGTTGTGACAGAGATTTGTTATCCTCCCTTTTCTCTGTTTTGGGCTAGGAGTTGCACCCCAGTTTGGAGTGGGCAATGAGTTTTTAGAGCAAAATCACTTGATGAATTGGAAACTTTCACAATGGGAACTTTTCCAAATGTAGACATGGAATCCTGCCCAGCCCAGGCATTCACGTGGTGCATCATATTGTTTTAATGAGCCGTTTTTTTCATGGATAGCTTTGAGCCTGAGGGATAGCGCTCACTCCCTACAGGATGTATTTGCAGTTCCCAGTTGTTTACGGGAACCTCAGCGTAAGCCTTGGCTGTTTGGTGAGGTTAGACATCACCTCTCTTTCAATAAGAATCATTAATACATTGCATCTTTTGGCACTGCAGCACTTGATCCAGGCTGAATACAATGACTGCGAATAACTTGTATGATTATTTTTCTTATTCTTATGCCTAAAGCTTTCATTAAAGCATAGTAAAAAAAATTTCATTTAAAAAAAAAAAATCTCTGAAGAGAGATAACAAAAATTGGGTGCTCAATGGGAAGATTTTATGCCAAAATTTTCCAAGAAAATATGTTTGCCCAAACATTATCACTGTGTATTTTTTACAGTAATGTGACATGCATAATGTTTATGACTGCATTTTAATATAGAAAAGCAGCTGATTTGGGACATTATGCAAAATGGCAATTTACATATTTCTGATCTATAGCAGCAAAAACTAATAATGTGTCTTTGAAACTGATACAGAATGGATTCAAATCACAGCATCAACAGCTTTTTAATTTTCTTTTCTGGACTACCAGATTAAATTATTGTTAAACAAAACCTAGCTAATATTTCTCACCAATGTTTTGTTCCTGTTTGTTCCACTGCCCTAAAACGAATGGGAAAAGTTGAAGACACATTGCAGCATTTGCCAGCATACAGCGGAAATTTTCTGCTCTGAGTCAAATGTGAACAATCTCACTATTTTACCTTTTGTGACCACTGCTGGTTATCTCTGCTCTCATCTCATTACAGAAAAAATTTCTTGCATCCATAACAGTAAGATACCAGTTTCTCCCCCATACTGGTACTCAGAGGCGCGCCAGGTTGGGAGCAGCCTCATACCAAGATCTGTGTGCAGAGAGCAGCCTAATCCCAAACTCTGTGTGCAGGGAGCAGCCTAATCCCAAGGTCTGTGTGCAGGGAGCAGCCTAATCCCAAGGTCTGTGTGCAGGGAGCAGCCTAATCCCAAGGTCTGTGTGCAGGGAGCAGCCTAATCCCAAACTCTGTGTGCAGGGAGCAGCCTAATCCCAAGGTCTGTGTGCAGGGAGCAGCCTAATCCCAAGGTCTGTGTGCAGGGAGCAGCCTAATCCCAAGGTCTGTGTGCAGGGAGCAGCCTAATCCCAAGGTCTGTGTGCAGGGAGCAGCCTAATCCCAAGGTCTGTGTGCAGGGAATCCCAAAGTGTGTGTGCGGGGAGCAGCCTCATCCCAACTCTGTGTGCAGGTCCCACGCTGCTGCTCTCCCCACAGTGCCAGAATAGCCGGAGCACTGAGCAAAAGCATTGCAGCCCATCCCACCTCCAAATTCAAGATGCCAAACGATTCAACTGCTGTGCCCTGCCCTTCTGAATAACATGAAGAGGGATCTAACTGAGATTTCAGTATCTGCCAAGCTCCACAGCAACAGTGATTTCTCTCTTTCTCTTCTCTGCTAGAGGCTGCGCAGCCCCCTATCCTAAAAGAAGCGGGTCAGACATCCATCTGAAGGGCACAGCAATGATTTGAACAGTCATCACCATTTTCTGAGACACCACGATCAAAGGCCTTGCTGTCATGTTGGCATTTCCATTTTCCAAATACACCAGTTTTTCATTTGCTGAAAAATGTTTCCAGTTTTGTTTTCAACTCAAAAAAAAAAGGAAAAAAAGGAAAAAAAAAAGAAAACTACTCAATTCTCAAGAAGATTCTAAAATATTTTTCTCATATTATTTGTTTATGGTATATATGAAAAATATAGATGCTCAGGAAAGCATTTTGGCAATATATATCAACACAGCTCACAAATTAATGTAATGACTCAGTGTGAGAGATGCTTTCCTGTCCTAGAACATCCCGGAACGTGTATTCTATAGCTATGCTTTATTTGAGGACAACGAAAAGATGATTTGCCAGAGGCCACTATCGCAGAACGCATTTTCAACTGACCAGTAACTATATTTTGGGGCTGTAGAAATTAATATAAGACAATGCTATTTGAAAAAAAAACCTGTACCCTATACGTTGGTTTCATGTTGCTTTTGTGCATCTAGCACAAGTGTTCAGGAAAGCAATCGCAGTCTAAGCATGTGGAGCTTTGCACAGTTTTTAAGGGGTTTTGTATGCTGACTCCAGCGTTGAACCTGGGACTAAGAGGAGTTTCTGCTTTAAAAGTACTGCTGCCTGTTTTAGCTGCATTAACTGTCCCTTTAGAGGACTTTACAATCACATGTCAAATGTTTCAGTAGAAACTTGTCATGGTTCTTGGAAGGTGTTGGGGTATCTGACTCCACTGTAATCTCTTATTCAAAAATGAATTGCAGCCAGGCACCAAGGGACCTTTCCCCTGTCCAGTCCTTGTAATTTGTAACCATCGTTGCACTAAAACTGCCAAAACACCCTCTTGCACAGCAGTTTGAGCCATGTTAATGTGAAATGGTAAATGAGCAGTGCAGAACTTCCCTTGTTCAGCAAGCTGGGTTTAAGCTTTGGTCCTGCAAATGCTGTGGATGCTGCTCTGACATTCCATGCCATATGACATCATGCTTAGCATATAGAGCTGGTGGAAGAAGAAGGAAGGGAGGGATGTTCAGAGTGATGGGGTTTGTCTTCCAAGAAACTGTTACGTGTGATGGAGCCCGGCTTTCCTGGAGATGGCTGAATGCCTGCCCCCAATGGGTAGTAGTGAATGAATTCCTCGTTTTGCTTTGCCTGCGTGCATGGCTTTTGCTTTACCTGTTAAACTGTCTTTATTTCAACCCACAAGTCTTTTCACTTTGACTCTTCCGGTTCTGTCCCCCACCCCACCGGGTGGAAGGGAGCGAGTGGCTGGTGGTGCTTGTGCCAACTGAGCCTAACCCACGACATGGAGTCTTCATCCAGAGATTTTAAAAATCCAGCTGGACACAGTCCCGGGCAACCTGCTGAAGCTGACCCTGCACTGAGAAGTGGGTTGGGTAGAAGATCCCCAGAGGTCCCTTCCTCAACCTTTTTGGGATTCTGTGCCCACAGCAACACCAGCTTCTCTGAACCATCTCAGTTCATGTTTCTCTAACCTGACCGTGCAATGATTTTCTTTCCAAGCTCACTACGCCTTTGGGGTGTCAGCTTTGACAGTGTGGATGACATTCAGATGCTACACATAGATACCTACTGCCCTTTGAGGCACCTTAGGGTATTCAAGACTACCTTCCGTGGCTGACTGTTATGACCAGGGATTTACAGAAGCCTTCTAGAGGACTCGTGTCCTTCTGGAGTACTGATGGAGCCCAAGAAGACATCACAGCGCCTACAATCGTATATACAAGATGCCTACACTCAGGCAGCAGAGCCTCACCTGTGCTGTTGCTTCTGCAGGGTGAATGCAAATAGTTTAAAATGTTCAAGACATGTTCAAGTCATTTTGACTTGGGCCAGATATGAACAATCATATCATCTAAGCAGGAAATAGCAATTGCATTGGCCTTCTCCTGCATGGAGTCACCTGTGCTGTGATTCATTTCTCCACCAGACGTCTGTGGTCACTCTCTGCTGGAAATGGCAGAGAGAAATAGACATTCTCAGGGTGCAACTCACCTGACCTGTTCTAAACATACGATTCACGGGTCACCTGCGTTCAGGTCCCTGTTCTGATGAGTTCTCATCTGTGAACACCAGGGGGAACAGGTTCCATGATTTGGAGGCAACGTTTCCTGCAGACCATGACTGCCTCGCACTATATGACCTTCAATACTCGCCTGAAAGGCGGCACATGTCCTGCCAGTGCTGCAACTTTGGATTAATAAATTAGTCTGTTTGAACTCAAAACCTTCTGGGTCTCTGCCTTTCTCAGCTGAAAACTCTCAGTAACAGGTTTGGAAGATGCTTGGGTGTGGGGTGTCTGGTTAAGTTTTAACACAAGCAGATGATCACTTGTATCACACAGATAAGATCGTTGTGCAAATCTGAGCTGGCAGATCCCATGCCTGTC